CCAGCAACTACCCTACTGGAGAGAGGCCCTTCTCGATCTTGCAGCCTCATTTGGGTCTTCCTAGCTAAGACAGATTAGAGAGGAACTGACCCAGTGAACTCCACCTTTTGCAGAATCATGAACAAATAAATGGTGGTGGTTGTTTTAAACCTCTAAGATTTGGAGGTGGTCTATTTCATACTAATAGGTAAATGAAACATAAACTGGTACCTGGATGTGGAGTGTTGCTGTAATAAAACCCTAAAGTATGTGACACTGACTTTACTGCCAGCTGGTAACTAGAGAGATGACTGTGAGTGGAAGTTGGTAGAGCAGCGAGGAAATTGCTATGGAGGACTGGAGAAGAGGCAAACTATATCACGTAGTGGCAGGATGTTTGACACTGCTGTTGCCTGTGGTGACATGAATGATAGAATATGAAGCCGGGTGCGGTGGTGCACGCCTATAATCCCAGCACTTTGGGAAGCCGAGGCGGGTGGATCACCTGAGTTCAGGAGTTTGAGACCAGCCTGACTAACATGGTGAAACCCCGTGTCTACTAAATACACACAAAAAAATAGCCGGGTGTGGTGACGCAGGCCTGTAATCCAAGCTACTTGGGAGGCTGAGACAGGAGAATCCTTTGTACCTGGGAGGCAGAGGTTGCAGTGAGCCGAGATTGCGCCACTGCATTCTAGCCTGGGCAACAAGAGTGAAACTCTATCTCAAAAAACAACAACAACAACAACAACAACAACAACAAAGAAAAGAAAAGAAGATAGAATATGTGCCATTGAACTTGTGGATCTAGCCAAGGAGATTTTCAGGTAAAATGCTGAAAGTGCCAATGGGTTTTATTGCCAAAGGGCAAGATCTGTTTGGTTTTCAAGCAGAATTCTAGCCAGTAAAATGTTTGCAAAGTAAGAAATGGTATCTGGGGAAAGACCAAATCAAGATGTGGCTATAAAAACTACTTTTTTTTTTTTTTTTTTTTTTTTTTTTGAGACAGAGTCTCGCTCTGTTGCCAGGCTGGAATGCAGTGGTGTAATCCCGGCTCACTGCAACTTCCGCCTCCCAGGTTCACGCGATTCTCCTGCCTCAGCCTCCTGAGTAGCTGAGATCACAGGCATGCGCTACCATGCCGGGCTAATTTTTGTATTTTTAGTAGAGACGGAGTTTCACCATGTTGGCCAGGATGGTCTCGATCTCTTGACTTTGTGAACCATCTGCCTTGGCCTCCCAAAGTGCTGGGATTACAGGTGTGAGCCACCATGCCCGGCAACAACTTCTTTTTAAAGACTCCAAGAAAGATTTAATGTGGTGCTTCGAAGACCATCTCAGGGCTTTTAAGAATCTTAAGCGCATTGTCCCACTGCAGCCTGACATGTAAAGTAGAGAGAGATCTATTTAAAAAAAAAAAAAATGAATGTGAATCTTGGAACATGGAATTAAACCTCAGCAAGATTTACATAAAGTTTTTGAGAAAAATGTATATAAATTTTGGAGCATGGTGTGAACTTTAATAAGATATAGAAAATCCACATGGTTTTTAAGATACTTGTATTAATGAAAGAACTGCCAGCTTAAACCAGAAAAAGTGCAAAATGAGAAGAGGTTTCTAGACCTTTCAGTTTCTCCTGGCATGAATGAAGCAGACTGAGAGAGCTGCTCAGCTACAAATATGGGCCATTCTTAAGAAAAGGAAATACATCTCAAAGGAAGGAGCCTAGATGTCAGAGGGCAAAACCAAAAACTTGTGTAAGGCAATGGATTAAAATGAGGATCAGCAGACTGCAGCCCATAGGGCAAATCCAGCCTATTGCTTGTTTTTGCACAGCCTGTGAGCCAAGAGGCCTGGCAGCTTCAGCTTTTGCTTCTAGAAGCCTGGCTGCCATGACTACCATGGTGGAGAAAAAGAGGAGAACCCGGAGGATGTAAGACCAAGGAAGAGAAAGGCCCAGCCTTGTCTTTGTCATTCTAGCAATCCCAGCTCAGTCGCCAGACAAAGGAAGCTGCTTTCAATCTTCCAACCCCATCTAAACTACCCAACCCAACATGCTGTGGAGGCACACCAAGCTGTCCCCACTGGGTACTGCTTAAATTTCAGAATCACAAGCAAGAAAATGGTTATGTTTAACCACTAAGTTTATGAGGATAATTTGTTATACTGCAAAAGTAACTGACATGAGGGCCTTGGGTGCATTATTTAATCCCTGGACTGGGCAGGAGATTTTATTTGGACTCCAATTTCTTCATATATAAAAATCAAGAGCCGGATATAGTAATTCGCGCCTGTAATCCCAGAACTTTGGGAGGCTAAAGTAGGCAGATCACTTGAGCCCAGGAGTTCGGGACCAGCCTGAGCAGCATAGGAAGACCCTGTCGTCTCTACAAATAATAGAAAAATTAGCCAGGCTTGGTGGTGCGGGCCTGCAGTCCCAGCTACTTAAGAGGCTGAGGGGAGAGGATTTCTTGAGCCTCCATAGTCAAGGCTGCAGTGAGCCCTAATCACACCATGCATTCTAGCCTGGGTAACAGAGTGAGACCTCAAGTAAAAGATACAATAATAATAATAGTGAAAATCAAGGATAGGGCAATTTAATCTCTAGGGTCCCTCCCTTTTTTAACATTTTATTATTCAGTGAATAATTGTATTCTATCATTCTGTCACATTTAGTGAGTGCCTATCATTGCTAGCTAGGTGCTAGTAGAGGTGTTGAGTACAGCAGATAAAGTGCAAACAAAACAAAGTTAAGCACTTAAGAGAACAATATGGACAACAGCAGGCAATCTGAGGGCTGATGTAAACATTCTCCTCAACTGGGGGGAAAATAGTCTTCTGACTAATACTCAAAAGATCTTTTATACTGGAAGAACTGGCCTCACATTCCTCAGAAATAGCAAACTATTACTTCTAATAGCTTCATTTTTATGGTAACATCAGTGCACATTTCTTTAGCATGAAGCAAAGCCTGGTGATTGTACAAATCTATGGAAGTTCGGATTTGCTGCACGCCCAACATGAGCACAAAATTCTTTTGGCCATTTGATGTCTTTTATAGATTCCATATGATTTGAATTAAATTTTATCTTCTGTAAAAGGCCTATCACAGCACAGTTAGGAATAAGAGACTGTGGAACCTACCTTGAGATATACAGAAGGGAGGCTGAATCGTGCCCAGTATTACTGTCTGCCTGTGTAGCCCTAACCTTCCAAAATGTTCACACCACGTAGGTAGACAAACACTGCTTCTGACTTTGAAGCTTTCAGGCTACATTGAAGAGCTAAAATGTAAATCAGCAATTGTACCCAAAGTGTTGCTTTATTTTCTATTTGGCCCTGTGGTAGGGCCCATTGTGTATAATTCCTCGTGAAAGCATCGCGTATAATTTCCTCATGAAAGCGAAAGCATCGCGTATAATTCCTCGTGAAAGCGCTGGGTAACAAGAGAGCTCTGGGTGGGTTAAGAGACCCCACTTGTGGCTGACTTTGCCTGTCTCACTCTATGACAGTGAGCAGAGCACTGAATATCTGTTGGCCTTGCTATCATTCTCTGATTCCCAGGAGTGAATTGACGCTCAACTGGAAAGTAAAAATGGATGTTAAGATAAATGGGAGATTAAAACACAGAATCATCAAAACCAGGAAAAAGAGCTGCAGGAAGTGAGTGTGCAAGGAGGGGTTTAAAAGACCAGCGAGAGGTCCTCGGGATTCTCAGCATCGCTTTCCTGTTAGTTTGAGGTTCGAATACAGTATTTGCGTCGTCTCACATACAACAAATAGGTGTTTGCCTGCACGTTGCCAACGTGACTCTTGGAAGAAAAGCTAGAAACTGCAAAACCGAGCAAAGGAGTTGGCTAAACGGCTGCAAGAAACACACACACACACACACACACACACACACACACACACACACACACTTGGAAGAAAAGCGAGAAACAGACTCTTGGAAGAAAAACGAGAAACAGCAAAACCGAGCAAGGGAGTTGGCTAAACGGCTGTAAGAAACACACACACACACACACACACACGGAAGAAAAGCGAGAAACAGCAAAACCGAGCAAGGGAGTTGGCTAAACGGCGGCAAGAAACACACACACACACACACACACACACACTCTCTCTCTCTCTCTCTCTCCCTCTCTCTCTCTCTCTCTGTCTGTCTCATAAGAAAAGCGAGAAACAGCAAAACGGAGCAAGGGAGTTGGCTAAATGGCTGCAAGAAACACACCACCACCCCCCCACCCATCCACCCACCCACCCCAGCAGTCATGAAAGAAAGACGAAAGTTCTTTGTTGAAACTCCGGGTTCAAAGCTATGGGCCCCACCCGGCTCAGGACCGCCTGCCACGAGGCCGCGCAGAGATGCCCCAGGCGCGGAGAGAAGCAGAGCACAGCTGTGCTAGAGACAGGGGCGCCTCCCTGGGCGGGACTGAGGTGGGATCCTGGTTCCTGACTTTGGCCTCCCAGCCCGGGCTTGGGGCTTCCCGGCGCTGGGAGGCCGGGGCGGGCCAGGCTTTGCAGCACAGGGCGAATCTCCCTCCCTCCCCGCGCGACCCCCGGGAACTGGCGGCCAGAGGTTAAGCTGACATGTTTGAAGACGGTAATGGGGCGCTGGATGCCAACAGTCCCAGCTCAGGGGAGTCCAGATTTATGTTTCTTGGAACAATTCTTTCCTCCACTGCATTAACGCCAGAAAAAAAAAAGCCACTTAGGCAAGTTCAGAGTCTACTACTGAAGTCTTGTTAATTTATTAACCCAAGCCGAGGCTGAGAGCTCGACGTGGCACTTAAGAAGTAAAATGAGGAAAGGAGGAAGAAACGGGGCCCCTGTGGGCCTCGGGGCAGCCTCGGCCTGGCTTTCTGGGAGGGCAGGGCCAGGGGCGCGGGGGCCGCTCCCACGTGGCGCGGCTCGGGAGCGTTCCAGGGCGCGGTCCCTGCAGGCCGGCGGACCGGGGTGAGTCACCCCTGACTCCGGGTGGGAGCGGGCCGTATAAGGGGGAGGCGGGGCGGGGCGGGGCGGGCCTCGCCTCGCCGAGGGAGGATATGGCGAGTATAAAAGCCCCACCCAGGCCAGCCGGCACTGCTAGGCATCTGGGGACGCTCTCAGCTCTCGGCGCACGGCCCAGGTAAGCGGGGCGCGCCCTACCCGCCCGCTACAGGCCGCTAGCTAGCGGGGTGCGGAGACGCTGGGAAGAAGGGTACCGCCTGGCAGGGAGGCTCCGGCGACTGGCCCCGGAGGCCGTCGGGGGCAGGGGACTGAAGGGACGGCTCACACTGGAGAGTCTTTTGGGGAGGGGGCTCAGGGACAAGGTGTTTAGGGCAGGCATGAGGGGCCGCCGGGGCTCGGGTCGGGAGGGTCCAGGGTAGGGTGGGGGGTCGGGCTTCCCCAAGAAGTCCTTGCAGGAGCGGGGCGAGGCGGCGCGGGGAGGGGGGCGGAGGGAGGCCCCGCATTCCAGACGCGCCAGGCGCCGCCGAGGCAGGGCGTGGCCGCCCAGGAAGCTGTGGGTCCCCGGCGCAGCAGTAGCAGTGGGCTTTCCACCGCCCCCTAGGAAGTGCCCCCATCTGCTCTAAGTTACTGTACTCGAAACAAACGCGCGCTTGTGGAGTTGAACCGACCAGCAGGAGGGAAGATGAGAGGGGAGAATGTGAGTAGGCACCCCCAGCCTCCCCCCCAATAAAAGAAAACATAAAAACGTCAGTTATTCCCCTTGGTCTGGGTTATCTTGTAGCATAGCAACTTCGGATTTCACTCTACTTGGAGAGTTGCCCGCTTGTTTGAACACATTGGCATCAGGAAGGTAGTGTCCCCCATGATTCTGTGGGGAGGGTTGTCCTGTTACTCGCCATGATGTGACAGTGAGTCAGGAACTGAGGGTACAGAGAAGGGCGTGGCGCCCCGGGGCCGCTCCCTCCTGGCCGCTCAGTGCAGCTGGCCCCAGGGCTGGTGTGGAGGGCTTGGGTTCCATCAGCTGCCTGTTGAGACGAAGGAGGGGAACACCAGTTTCCTTATCTGGGAAAGTGGCTTAAGGATACCTGTTCTTACCACCACCCAAAAAGGGTTATTGGAGATTCCAAAAAACACCGTCATTCGATAACAAATGTGTAAAGTACACAAAAAACGCAAAGTGCTGTGCAAATGCAAAGTGTCATTTTTGTAGTCAGATTGCCATTTTAAAGCTGTGGGTGTCTGTGTGTGTAAAAGAGGAGTGGCCTCATGGGTGCACACTGGGCCATTACCAAGAGCCTTAAGCTGTTGCTGTGCAAGGGCCTGGGCCCCAGACTGTACTGATGGATTCTGTTCACATGCGTGTGCTACTGTCCCTGTCTGGAACTTGGTGACTTGGAATGCAGAATGCACTTTCCCACTGAACCAGTGTTGCAGAAGGTGCTGACATTCTCAGGCTAGCCCTGAAAAACCTATTTAACTTGCACTGCCTAACTGTGGGGTTGGTGGTGGGGAGGTGGAGGGTAGTGAGGGGCAATATGTGTGTGTGTAGGAAGACTAAATCACTGAAATATTTTTCTGAAACTTTTTTTAGCCTTAAGGTTGACACTGAGTAAATTATTTTAATTGGAAAATTATGTCTTTGCCCCTGTTCCACCTTCCTTTTTTCCACCTTCCACCTCCTTAGAGACGCTCTTCTGTGAGGTATTACAACAGCCATCCAGGCCGGTCCAGTTACGCTGCATTCCTTCCTCCTTCCCATTTCAGCAGACCTGCATCCAGCTAGAGGCTGGCAGATTGAGTCAATATTCATTAAGTTAGAAATGGTTGGTGGTCCTAACAACCTCCGCAACCCAGAGGAGTCCTGTTATTTAAAAAACAACAGGCCAGGGCGCAGTGGCTCACTCCTTAATTCCAGCACTTTGGGAGACCGAAGCGGGCGGATTACAAGGTCAGGAGATCGAGACCATCCTGGCTAACACGATGAAACCCCGTCTCTATTAAAAACACAAAAAATTAGCTGGGCGTGGCGGCGTGCGCCTCTAGTCCCAGCTGTTGGGGAGGCTGAGGCAGGCGAATGGCATGAACCTAGGAGATGGAGCTTGCAGTGAGCCGAGATTGCGCCACTGCACTCCAGCGATGCGGGGCGTGGTCATGGGCCTGTAGTCCCAGCTGCTCAAGCTAGAGGATCTCTTGAGTCCAAGGCCAATGTGAACAACATAGCAAGACCCAGTCTCAAAAAATAAATACATAAAATAATTTTTAAAAATACCTTGTTCACCTAAACAGATCTATAATTATAGAACTCAAAGTGGTAATATTCAGGCAGTATGAAGGAAGATTTTTGGTAAGACTGGGGCAGCAGAGGTGCCCTTGATGGGCAAGGGCCAAGAGTGTTAACACAGTCCTGCTTAGTAATTTCTTCCCTTCTTCCAAGTCTGTTGATTATCTAAAGGTCAAGGGTTTCTCCAAGTGTCCATTGCATCTGCAGTGGAAGTGTCTATGTGCATTTTTACAATCAGAGGTTTGTGATTTGGAGACCGTCTAGATTTTGTCATTTCCTGCAGTGCCAAGTAGCCTGCCTGTGGTAAATGCCCAGGAAATATTGCTGACTCACTGACTTTGATTAGGAGCTCAGTCTTGCACTGGAGTCTCAGTATTTAACATCTTGTGTCTTTGAGCTATTAAACTGTGGTATCGATTGACATTAGGCTTGCAGTCATGGCCGTTAGTTTCCTGGCTAATTTCTGATTTAAGCAGTTTTCCTGGCAAAGTAGATGTGCTTCTATAATTGCTATTGATTTTGAGGGCTGTAGGCTCTCACCATTGGGCCTAGAATCTGGCACTAATGCATTGTTTGGAGCCTTTGTTCTCTCTGTGCTTGTGCAGAGCCTGGAGCCTGCGGAGACATTTTTCATTAAGGGAGAGTGGGATTGTCACAAAAGGAGTCTCAGGCCCTAGTGGGCTGCTTTAAACAACCATTTATTCCACAAAATGTTAATCACCTCCTGTGTTCCACTCATAGTTATGGGCACTAGGGATACAGCAGTGAACGAAACAGACTCCCCGCTGACAGCCCCCAAAATCCCTGCTCTTTAGACCTTAAATCTGGCGGAGAAAGAAGAGACACAACAATTCCAAAAAGTGAATTTTTGGATTTTAAACTTTATATTTTCCCAAATTAATGCTAGTTTCTGAACTTGGCAGGGGTTCATTTCCCTTTTAATCCAGACCTAAACTTCATATTTTGCCTACCTCGGGGAAGCTTTGCTTAAAGTTATGGTGTCTTAAGCTGCCTTCCAGATTCAGTTGTGAGAATTAAATAGAAATGGAATGTTCCTCTTTTTCTCACATGAGAATCCTCTTCACTTTCCCTGGTGCCACACCCTATTCTAGTTGTAGGCCACACCAAAGGAAATTCCAGTCCCTTAAAAAAATTCTTTCCACCCATTCAGTGCCTGGTATGTTTTTTCTTCTGCTGTTGCCAGAGGCAGTCCTCATCTACTTTCTGGAGGGACAGGTCAGCAGTAGGGGTCAGGAGATGTCCATATTTGTCCTTCTGGGTGGTTCCATCAGATTACTTCCAAATCTCCCTTCTAGGATACACCCTGAAGCCTTTTTTTTTTTCTTTTTTTTTTTTTTTTTTTTTTTTTTGAGATAGAGCCTTGCTCTGTTACCCAGCCTGGAGTGCAGTGGCGCGATCTCTCCTCACTGTAGTCTCCGCCTCCCAGGTTCAAGTGATTCTCCAACCTCACCCTCCCGAGTAGCTGGGATTAAAGGCACCTACCACCCTGCCAGGCTAATTTTTGTATTTTTAGTAGAGACAGGGTTTCATGATGTTGGCCAGGCTGGTCTGGAACTGTTGAGCTCAAGTGATCCGCCCGCCTTGGCTTCCCAAACTGCTGGGATTACCGGCATGAGCCACTGTGCCCGGCACACCCTGAAGCTTTTAATCCAGCTGAGCTTAACCTTGTTAGAGCACAAGTCGGTAGCACCCAGGTGGCCTGAGTTTTACCCCAGGTGTGGTGTAGACATTTCTGATTCTAGGGAGTGACTGGGATATGAAAGCCCTTTGTCCATGCGCTTTGTTTCCCTGCCACACCCAGGCTACACACTAACAGCTCAGAGGAAATCAGAGTCCTAAAGCCGCTCGTATATCCTGCCACTTTGATCCCTTCTTGCCAGGAGTTGTAGGTTACATTCCCATGTTGTCCTATGGACAGAGCTAGGACCCAAGTAGCCCTGACTGCACAGAGGTGGGGGGGCATGGCTATAGATAAGAGGCTGCCCCGAAGGCTTTGCTAAGATTTGCAGAAGTTGATGATTTAAGCCTCCAGCTCTGAATGCATGGAACTGGAACTGCATTTGAAATGTCCAGCCTGAGGGAGAGAGAAAACTGAGGAAGGAGCATGTGTTGGAAAAGAAGAAAAAAAGACTTTCTAATATAGAAAGATCCAGTGTGTGTAAACCATCTCAAGATGAAATTGAATGCCTGTCGTGTGCCAGGCACTGTGCTCAGATCTATGAGGAAACAGGAAGGAGTAGGTTGGAAATGCTGTGAGCAGATAATATGGAAGACAGACTTTACACACGCAACTCTAATGTTGCACAGACACACAAAAAGCTGCAGAACCACGGGGCAAGGAGGGGTGTGTGAGAAAGATGGCATTTATGATTTTCTGTATCCTAAAGACTCATTTAGATGTCAGCTAATTAAGATTGAGGTTCCTGGTGGAGGGAACTTAGAAAGTGCTGAGCATGTTTAGAGAAGAGTTAACAGTCCAGTTAACTCTTCTGTGCAGGATGCGTGTATGCGTGTGTGTGTGTGCAGAAGGTATTTAAGGAAAGGTAGGTAAGTCCACAGTGTGGAAGATCTTGAATGCTGACATTGGACTTTTTTTCTGTAGGCGGCCAGGCCCTGCTGAAAATACAATATGTGGGCCATAAAACACTGAAATTGAGTTGTAGACTCAAAGGCCTGGATTTCCCAACCCTGAAAGTGCTTCATGCCAAGTGACATCATTCTTCCTGCCAGTCTCTTTCCACCCACTCCAACCCCAGATCAGGAGACCAGCAGAGAAAGGCTGTGAGAGCATGAGGCTGCAACAAGTCAGTAGGGAGCAAACAAATATTGATTCAGATCAGGCCACAGAAGAGACAAGCTAGAGCAAGTGCTGTGTG